AAAATGGGCATCTGAAATGAACAGACATTTCTCAGACAAAGAAGTAGAAATAGCAAATAAACATATGAAAAAATGTTCAACATAAGTGGTCATTTGAGACATTCAAATGAAAACAATGCTGAGATTCCACCTTACCCCAGAAAGAATGGCTGCTATCATGAAATAAACCAATAACAAATGCTGGCGGGGATGTGGGGAAAGAGGAACACTGCTCCACTGCTGGTGGGACTGTAGACTGGTGCAACCATTGTAGAAATCAGCATGGAGAACGTTCAGGGAACTAGAACTAGAAGTCTCATTTGACACAGCTATTCCCCTGCTGGGTATCTTCCCCAAAGAATTAAAAGAATTATACCACAGTAATATATGTTCATAGCAGCACAATTTTTAATAGCTAAAACTTGGAAGCAGCCCAATTGCCCATGAACTGGAGACCGGATAAAGAAAATATGGTATTTTAATAAAATGGAGTACTACTCAGCCATAAAAAATTAGAAATTGGGGCTGGGGATTTAGCTCAGTAGTGCCACCACCTGCCTTCCAAGGACAAGGTCCTCAGTTTGATCCCCAGTACCAAAAAAAAAAAAAAAAACGAAGAAAGAAAGAGGAATTAGAGGCATTCATAGCTAAATGGATGCACATTGAGGAGATACTCTTAAAGTGAAATAAATAGGACACACATGTGTAAATACTGAATAGTTTCTCTAGTGTGAGGAACTGAAAGTGTAAATAGGGACTAAAAGGTATAATAGATAATGTGAAATAGGAAGAAAAGGGGAAAAGGGGAAGGGGAAGGGGAAGTGGAAGGGGTAGGGGAAAGGAAAGAAGGGAATGGAATATGAGAAAATGAAAATATGGAAACAAAGTCCTTGTATATAGGGAGCGATGGAGGGGCTGAAAGGAGGGAAGGGGAATGGGGTAAAAATAAGAACCAAGAGAGATTATGTAGAGGTGTAAATTTCCAATGATGAATGTCATTATAATATATACCTAAAATGTACCAATAAAATTAATTTTTTCAAAAAAGGCCTCTTTGAACATTATGAGAACTGGAAAAAATAATTCCTTCTGAGGAAGATCAAGGGAGACAGATCATGCAAAAGATGAGAAAACTTAAAATGATTATGAAATGCTGAACATACTGCACACTTCTGCTTGCACTTTTTTCCCCCAAGTACTGTACTGGGGACTGAATTTAGGGGCATTCTATTCTCTATCACTGAACCACATCACGGGCCACCCCTCCACCCCCACCCCCCACACCTGCCTTTGCAACAGTCTAAGTAGTTCAGGCTGGCCTCAAACTTGCAACACCCCTGCATCAACTTTTAGGTACCTGAGATTACAAGCATGCACCTCAGCATACAGCCTATTTATTCTTTAAAATCTAGTTCAAGGGCACCTTTGTCATGAAGGATGCCATTTCTCAGAGTTCTATGGCTCTTACCTATGAGTTTTATTCCTACCTCCATACAAAAACATTTTCCTAGTTACACTTTCCTCCATTTGACTCAAGAGTTTACGGCTAGGAAGTATTTTATATATCCACAAAGTCTGGACCTATCATCTACCCTGTCCATCCATCTGTTGAATGGATGGGCTCTGTGCTAGGTGTTGGAGAGATGTACAAACTGAGTAAGATGTAGGATCTACCACTGAGGACATCAGCACAAAAATTTATAACTCCAGCAATCTCGGTAGTACCTTGACAGAAACTGAAAAGATGCATAGGACTATGGGAACTGGGAGGATCAAAATCAGTTATAGGATTAAAGGAAAAAAAGGCTTCACAAAGAGATGGGATCTTAGCTCTTTTTGGAAGTGGAAAGAGGGATAGGGTACAGGATGGATACTGTGCAGAAGTAATAGCATCATCCTTTCAAAAACTATCAACCGAGGCACTCGAAAATATTTAAATGACCCCAATTATGATCCAGGAAGTGGCCAGGAGACCTAACTTCCATCTATTTCCCTTTTGAAGTAATGGCATCTTTGAAAATAAATCTAAAGTTAACCCATGATTATAGGAGAAAGCCAGTGAAGTAATTTATCCTAGAGTCATAAAGAACCTGCCTAGCAACTGATTTCCTGATCACCGCCCCCAACCAGAATTTCAGTCCTTAATCCACAGTGAAACTGAAGGCCTGATCTTGGGGCCCTCCAGGCTTCTATCTAGAGACATGGCTAAGCTTCCTCTGTTCCTACCAGATAGAAGCTAGAATGTTTTATTCCCTGGTGATAAAGCATTCTATGCTTGTTTCCCTTAAAATTCCATGTCATCTAGGCCATTTTTAATTCCACTTGCAGCAGAGAAGACATGAGGAGCAAACAGGTTTCCATGATCCTATTCTAACCTCCCTTTTCAAGGAGCTTGCAGATCCTATGTTGGGCATCAAGCAGAATTTGTTTCAGGTTATGGAGATATTTGCTATGCCTGGTAAGGTGGCCTAGGCAGTAAACACAAAGAGCAAGGATGTTTTAACGGCTACTTTTTCTTCTCTGCATAAATTTCAGGTACACACTGTGCATTCAGATAAGCAGGTGAGGACACGTAGGCTTCAACTGGGTCTAAGGTTAAGTAGCTCCACAACTTATCTTTGGCATTACACAAAGATGCCTCTCTCAATAATCGGTAAGGCCCCTCGACAGAGAAAGAAGTTGGTAGTTAAAATTATATTTGTTAAGTGAAGAAGAATCAACTATATGAAACAGTGCTCCAATTCCGCTTGCTTTGCAGGATTTCGGAGATAATAACTGCCATCTCCTCACAAACATTTCCACTGTCACAATGCACCAGTGTGCAGCCTTGCAGAGCTGTACTTCGGCATAGAGGCATTAAAGCCAGAAGGGTTCTCATTCAGAGGTCACAAAGCAGGAACTCAGGAAATGTTCATTAACCTTTTAAAAATCTGATCTTATATGTATTTCCTCCCCTGCAACAAATCTTACATACATATGTCCTAATACTTTCAATTTTCTATCACGAGTGTGGTGGCTAGATATTAAGAGGATACTGTGGGGGGCCTTGCCCCCCCCCACCGCTAGAACTCTTGAGTGCCTTTTACGGGCATGTCTGGGCCTGCAGCAAGTCTACCCGGCAACAAGGAAGTAGCCCCAGTACCCTCCCCTTGCTCCTCCCCTCTAGCCTTACGGTATATATTCTGTAGCAGCTTCCGCAATAAACGAGACTTGATCAGAAACCTGTCTTGTCTCCATCTCTCGTGTCTCTTGTCCCTTGTCATTCTCACTCCCCCTCTAGGGTCTCTGTTGACTTACCACGGGCCGGGACAGGATACAGTGATGAGAAAGGAACTGACAACACTGCCAGAACCAAAATTCCAGAACCTCAAACCCTGGAAAGAAATGTACTGTCATTCAGGATTTATTGCACTGGAACTTAACTTCCCCCAAACTTAGTGAGTAGTAGTCACTGGCCTTGAGATCATTCGAACAAGAATCCATCCATTTGGGTCTCACAAGATTATAGAGAAAAATACGGTTCAGATCCTTTTTAAAAGCTTATAATACTCATGTGTAAATCAAGAAACTATTTTTTAAAGGGTGAAAAATGTTTTAAAATAGACACAAAATACAAATTTTAAATTATGTAATTTTTTTCTTTTTGTGGTACTGGTAATTAAACCTTAAACCCATGGTCTTCACAGTGACCTATATCCCCAGTCCTCTTTAAAAAATTTTTGAGACAAGGTCCTGCTAAGTCCCTAAGTCACCCAGGTTGGGCTCAAAATTTCAATCCTCCTGCCTCAGCCTACCAAAGTACTGATATATAGATATAGATACATAGATATACATATATAGTTTTTTTAACACAAGGAATTATGCACCTGTACTGTTCTCACACTTCTGAAGAGTTGGTACTTTCTAATAAGGGTATCTGCTACTTTCCATATTCTATAGACAGTTGTTACCTCCAGATTTCATTTGAACTTTGGGGAAACTTCTCTTTTCCTTGCTGACCTTGTTAAACTTTAGTAAAGCAAAGAGGAAATGCCTCTTCTGTATCACTGATGGTGAAGTGTTGATTTAATTAAAATGAGCACACACAAAAGAATGGTAGAGTAATAAAGTGGTTCTCTGAGATCCTAAAAACTCAAAGTGTGATTTTTGTCTTGCTATCATCTCAGCTGTTGCAGGGTAATAACCCATCTCTTCTCTATTTAGGTAGAGGGATTAGGGTTTTAAAAAATGGTCATCAATAAAACATTTTTTTTAAGCAGATAGCTCAATGTCCCAAAAACAAAAGCAAAAATTTAGAAAAAAATGAAATCTACGCTGAAAACATAAAAAAAAAAAAAACCCTGAGAAAATATGCTGAATTCAAAACAAACATTTTTTTAATTTTTAAGAAGTGTGAAATGAGTTTTTCTTTTTTAATAACTCAAAGGAAGTTTCTGTACTTTAGGTCATTCTTTTTTTTTTGGTACTGGGGATCAAACTCGGGACCTTGTGCTTGTTAGCCAGGCGGCGGAACCCCTGAGCTAAATCCCCTGCCCCTACTTTGTTATATTAAGCCTGAGCTCGGAATGAGGTCTGATGTATCATGAACCACTGATCTTTTGCAAAGTAGAAATGAGCACAAATTATCTTCAGGAAGTTGATTGTTTTTGCACTGATTAAAATGAAACTTCAATTTATCTCTTAACAACCGAGACAAGTTCAATGATGTTGCACACTCTAACCTGATTCCACACCAGAGATGTTTCATCTCAAAGCTTAAAAAGTCCACCACATAAACTTGTCAGTGAAGCCAAGGTGGTAATAATCTATTTTGACTCTTAAAGTGCTTTTCAAAAGGATGCACCACAGGTTCACATTTCCACATCTATACAACTTTATTAGCAAATAAAATACACTGCCAGCATGTTTTATATATGGGTAAGGGCATTCCTACAGTAATTAATGGCACATTATCATCTAACAGTTGAACTTTATCAAGAACGAGGTTTTAAAAATAATATGCTAATATTTCATATCAATATTCAAATTAAATAAACAATTAAAATAACATTTAACAGCAGTTTTAAAATGTAAAATTGTTTTATGATTTTTCCATAAGCTGGAATCATTAAAAAACAACTCCTATTTAAAAAAAAAAATTACTAAATCTCTTCTACAGGCTGAGTGGCCAGGAAAGACTATGAACACAGTAATGGGCTCCCATTCCTACCCTAGTTCCTTCTCTCAAAAGGGAGTAAGTGCAGACAGTCACTTTTCAGTATGGTGAAAATTATATCCAGGATGGTTGGATAACTTATCCTACAAATGGGGACACTTTTTTGAGAGAGAGGTACTTTTCAAAGTTGAGAAAACAGGAAAATTGTTTTGAGCATACACAGGGTTTCATATTTTACATTAAGTACAGTATCAGATTCACTCTCATTATTTTTGTGCTTTTTGAGCCAGTAAATACCACTTGGAAAACAATTATATTAAACTGAATTTTTCTCCAATTGGATATTCTGAACTCCACTTTTCCTGTTATGAGAGTTAATTGAAAAATTTTTTTTTGTTTTTTGAAAGAGGGTTTTGCTGTGTATTCCAAGCTGGCCTTGAACTTGCTATGCAGCACAGGCTGGCCTCAGAATCACAGCAATCCTCCTGCCTCAATCTCCCAAGTGTTGGGATTACAGGTGTATGCCATGATGCCTGGCTAGATTATCGTTTAAAGGTTAAAATTTAGGAGTAACTTTAAAGGCATGTCTAAAATGGGATGTAAGATGTCTAGGCTGGAGATTAATATTATTCAATTAAGCAGATATTTTTATTTTAACAGTGCAATAGGATTTAAATTTAAATTTTAAATTTCTAATAGCTATCCTGAATATACTATTAGAAAAGCATTTTTGCCTGAAAATAGTTTGTTGCACAGCTACATAAAAATGGATTATCCTAGCCATAACTACCTTGTTCAAATATAATAGAAAGCAATTTAAGACATTTTTGCATTAACTTCCAAGTCCCAGTTCACATTCATTCAAAAATGTTTAGACAGCCAAATAAGAGTATTGATTTTTAATCTTTAAGGCAGACTACAAAGGTGGTCAAGCATTCCCAAGCAAACAGTTGTTCAAGCTCACAGAAAATGAAAGGAAATGCACAGGATTTGATAAATCTGGAAGAGAATGTTAAGTTTTTGGAAATAACATTTTGATGCCTCTGCTTGAATGATGAGATTAAAGGGTACCATTGAATTACACTAATCACAGCAGAGTAGGTAACTGACACATGTGAACTTTACAGATTTAGGGGTAAAAAAGCAAAAGCGAAAAAAAGCAAAGTTCTGATGTTTGATGAAAAGTGACACACTTATCTTCAGAAACCAAGTACTATAAAAATTAAAATTTTAATAAATTGATGTTTGATAGCTGAGCTTCCTAAGAATTAAAAATTAGCATGTATCAAAGCTTCATTTCAATTTAAAAATTATTAAAAGAACAAAGTACAGGTCTATAGGAAATGAGCAGGAGGTAGAGAAGCTATCCATCATGAGCATGGATATGTTATCAGTACATGCTAATTTTAATTAATTTCCCAATTAAGCAACTAAATTAAATATTTTGTTTTCTTTACCCCATGATCTTGTTTTACTTCAAGAGGTGTAACACAGGTACTTTAATCAACAATAAAAATTCTACACAAGGGAGTAAAATGAATGAGGGAAAATAAAATATAGGAGGCTCGATTAGCAAACAAAACTGTTATGTTTTATTTGTCAAAGATAATGAGAAAATTAGAAGATACACAGAAATACAAAAGAGGTTATAAAGCATAATAAATTTTATTTTTTAAGAATGAAAGTATCCCTGAATATTTAAGTGTAACTTTTAGTAGCAGTGTCTAATAAACAATCAATTTTAAATGTTCCATAGAGCTACATTAAATGATTTTTAAGTTTAAAAGATAATGCAATTCCCATCATTTGTAATACTGGCATTCAAAAGCAAAGGTGTAACTGGGGAAAAAAAAGATGAAACAAAAAATGATTTGCAAGATGCAAAATGTAGTACTTACAAATGTAAAGCAGATTCCAGTTGTAATAATGATCACATTCTCACCACACACACACACACACACACACCCCAACCCCTATATTCCACATTTTTTAGAACTTGAAAATAGTTATTTCGCATCTCAGTCCAGATTATGATTTTTTACAAATTAATCCTATAATCATAAAGCGAGGAGCTATTAATAGAATAAGATTTTATTTGCTAAGCATAACAAACATCTAAAGAAAAATTATTACAGTGATACTCAAAGATATTTTATTGGCTTTTTAAGAGACAATGTCAAATGAGAATATCTTATTTGGAAAATTAATTTTTAAAACTGTCTTAAATGAAATATAATATCTAATACAATCTTTTCCTGTAAGAATCTCTAAGATGGATAATCCTAAAAATCAAGCTTCTCATTTGAAAATCCCTAAAACTAGCATGTCCCTTAAAAATGTTCTTTTTTTTCTTATAAAGGACATTTGGTATACCCACATTTTCTTAAAATTTGTCCTAAAACGAACTCTAACACTCAAATTTTCTATATGTATTTAGTTCACTTAATTTAAAATTAATGCAGATAATGACACAATTTCTAAGAAAACAATGTAAAAAGTAATTTATGCATGGTTATTTACAATGTTTTCCTAAGTAATATCGTATTCAAAAATTTTGACAAATCCTTTCAAACAATCAGCACTGCAGTTTTAATAAATTTTATATATAACAAAGAATATTTCATGTGTAGAATTACTAGATGGACCTAAGAGCCAGAAACTAAAGCATTTGACATGGTTAATAATTTCATTTTTATTATACTTACAGTCAAGTCAGAAGTCAATGGCATTTACATGCTGGAAGACTTTTATCACTCAACTCTTTCAATTGTATCATAACACTGATTAGCCAAATATTACTGGACTTTACTCCTACAACTTTACAGTTTCTTCAAGTATATTTAAAATTTTTTAAATGGGCACATATGCAAATGTGCAAACCAAATAACAAATAATTAAAGAACAGAAATGGCTTTTAAGCATAACCACCCTGACATTTAATTTTGAAGCCCCATCTTTTCAGTAATTTTTCTTCTATTAGTAGTCTTCTATTCCACTAAAGTTGTAGATTTACAGATGACCTGGAAATTTCACATTGGTATAAGAAAGGAATGTTGGGTTGATGCAATCTACAGACAAAGGAAGAATTAGTATTAATATGTAGTTAAGCTGTATTTACCTAAATTATAGTACAATAAAATCCATTTTATAGCAGTATTACATAAAATATGTAAATTCTTTTGATAAATATAAAGCAGTATATAAAGCATAAAACTTCTATAGGAGACCATCTAGAAATATTTACATTATGTTTTAGATTCTTCAAAATCTAAAATGTTAATCACTACTCACAGAATATTCAGATCAGTAAAATTATTTTGCTTTTCTCTTAACTGCTAATACTGACAAATCTTAGTAAGACCATTTGCAAAGATATTTTACTGGTTAAAAAAGAAAACAAAATCTCTAGGGGTAAGGGGATCTTAATGGAATGTCTGAAGTGATACTTTAATGCGAACCAGAAACAAAACTGTATCCACTGTGCTCTTCAGCAGAACTAAGTAAATTATATATGCTTATGATTAACCCATATAAGTTTTAAATAAATTTCAAGCAACCAGATCACAAACCACACAAAATTACAACCATCCTTCAATCTATAGGGATTATTTCAGGACCCCGTCCGAATACTAAAATCCACAGATGCTCAGGTACCTCATGTAAGACAGTGTAGTATTTGCATACAACCTACATACACTATCCTGCATTCTTTTAAGTCATCTCTAGATAATAGATAGGTACAAGTAATACCTAATACAATTTAAATGCTACATAAATAGCTGTAATACTGTATTGTTTAGGGAACAATAAAAAGGAAAAAAGTCTACACATGTTCAGCACAGCTATTTTTCTTTTTCGAATATTTTCAATCCATGGCTAGTTAAAAACATAGATGTAGAATCACAGAGTGTTTACTGTACTTAAATTATACTAACCTTGAAATGTCTTACAACCAGAAATAAAGTGTTTCGGTAGACACTTTACTTATGAGTTCAAATACTTTAAAGTTTAAATCATTTACAGATACAGCAAGTATACAATACTTGCTTTGAAAATATGATGGAGAATAAAGATAAAAGGTTTCTTAATGTGAAGATAGTCCTGGCTGATAAGTAAGCAAATGCTATGACTACACACACAGCATCCAGACACTTGCTGGATAACTAGTTGGTGGGCCTGGGCTCATTTCTTTATTTCCTCATTCATTCAAGATGTAGCCTTCATTACCGATACAAAGTAACATGCATTATGAAGACAGTAACAGAACTATTTTCTTCACACAACTTTTTTTCCTTGATCCAGACTGTTAAATGACTGTGTGACAAATTGTTTTTCAATACAGATTTTTTTCACCAGATGTCTATGTGGATTTCACATTGTTTTATGCAAACTGCATATCCTTTCTGTGGAAGTACTTTGTCATATTTTGATTTTCAAGCCTTCATGCTTTGTGTTTGTAGTTACTTCAAACACATCCTGTGGTCAATTTTTAGAAAGAAGTTTAAAAAGAATGATTTAAAGTTTTAGTTTACTCATGTATTTTAAAATTGAAATTTATGAAATTCAATTAAAAATTTTTAAGTTCTCTAAAAAGGCTTACAACTTACTAAATTTCAATAAATATTCACAGCATGAAAATATATTGACTATGCTAGTTTTGAGTAAAACTTTTGAGTAAACATAAAGCATTTAATATTGTGAATTAAATGTGCATAAAGGAAATAAACAGTCAATGTATTAGTATTTACCTCTACAATAAGAAGAAATATCTTGTTCTATGAGCAGCTGCCATACTTTCAGACATGTTTCTGACTTTTAGATAATTAACAAAGCCTCTGAAGAAAAGGAGAAGGCCTGAGAAAATTAAAATAATACAGATATATTATGTTCTTACACAGAAAAAGGGTAGATGCTTGATAAATGTAAAACAATTATAAATAAGATCCTTTGAGCTCAAGGAAGTTAATTTTCAGGATTCCATTTATTATATAATGATGACTTTATCAATTTACTGCCATCCAGTCTTTCAATTTGTTCAGTCTCAATGTACCAAAATCCAGAATTACTTAAAAACATATACTTGGTTAAAACATTTTAATAGAAAAAAATATATATGCATTTGTTAAATGATTTATTTAAACAGCAAAGTCATCTAATGCATTTTACTTATTCCATTCATATAAATACAACTCAACTTATATCAAACTTTTCAATATAACTAATGATCAAACAAAAACATATTTATTTATACCAAGTATTCAAAAGAAAATATATGCATATAGTTGTTAGCCTGTCAAGCAGTATCAAGTGCTTGTGATCTATGAAATATGTATTTGAAGATATACACCTTTTGTATGTTTTTAAAATTATGAATGTTATTTTTAAGTAATAATAATAAACCAATGTAGACTAAAAAGACACAAAGAGTCAGGAAAGAAGACTTGAGAGACAGTCACTGCAGTGATTTCACAGATGATTAGACATCTGAGGTACCTCTCATAGTCTTCTCTCTAAAATAATATTTTAAAATAATAACCATTTACATCACAGGTATTTTTAATAATCAAAAAGCATTGCTGCAAAAAGCTTCAAAGTTTCAGATGAAAAATATTGCATATGCAGAAAAATGTTATCACTATTAGTATATGCCTTTAAAAGATTAAGCATAAAATTCCTAGGCAAACCACTTATTGACTTCAGTAAACATATAAACAGAAAATGGTAGAGGACAAAAACAAAAACAGAAGCTATGTATATATGCAACTTTCCTCACTAGGAGGAAGTGTCTGTAAATTTAAAATACAAAATCCAAAACTAAATTTGTGCCCCCAACACATGAGTGTAATCAGAACACTAAAAAAAGGAAGTATGTTTGTAATAAACCAAAAAGACAGAAGAAATGTACACATAATGATTTAAACAGGGGCATTAATTTCAGCTAAATCCAATCCCATCTGCTTCCTATATCCAAGTCCCTCCATTCGTGACTTCCTCTTTCTAAATTCTACCCTCATCCCTTCCAGATGCTGTTCAAAGATAATGGTATTGTTTCCAAAATGCAGAAGTATAACTGGAAAATGTGAACCAAAATTATTTGTGAGATCCCTCCTTTTGTCTATGAAGCTGTTATTTTTCTGCTCATGCATTTTTTAAATTAAGCTAATTCATATCTAAAGCCCAATCACTTGATGTATGCTGCTTCTCAGCATTCTACAATGTACTCAACATTCTTTTGAGTATACGAGAGCAACATTTTTATTACTGATTAAAATTTCACATTCCTAAGTAAAATGCTAGATTATGGCTCTAATGAGAACTCTACTGTATACCTCACAGTCATCTTCCTAAGATTCTCCCAAATTCTTAGTAATGTACATAGCAAGTAAATATACTCAACTTACGTTTAGCTACCTAACACTTTATAATTTTTTCATCTTTAGATAAAAAATTCAATAAAAAACACATAATTCAGGCAATCTGAATATAATTAACATGAAACAGGCTTAATGCTTACAAAAGTCTCACTTCCCGACACACAACACTTGAGAAATTGCACTACCACTATTAGAGAAAGAAATTGGTGACTACCAAGAATTTATCTTCCCTGAAACTCCTTAAGATCCAAAAGCATGACTTAAAAACACAAAGAGAAGACTGCCATCTACTGAAATGTTATTGCTTTCTGATGCAATTATTTTCAGTAGAAACAAACCACATTCTTCCTGTCAGTAAGCATCTGAAAGATGGATTAAAAGTGTAAATGTGATTTTTAAGAGTAATTGAATTATCATACATATAAGCTGAAGATCCATAAAATTCAGCAAGATTAATAAAAACACACCATGCAAGACGACACAACAGAAGTACAGTGATCATTAGGTATGAAGTCCTTCCATATGCCTGGCTGATTAATGATTAGTGCAGTGCACATTTCAAAACTGAAAGAATGTCTTCATGATCCAAAAATTAGAGAACGCACAGCATGCCCAAACTATCCTATGTGCAAACTAAATCTTCATATCCTAAGATTATGAAAAGAAATTATGCATGTATATTTTCCAAGATAAATAATGAAGGCAATTATTTTTAATCATGTTAAAATATTCAAATAAAATTTTATAGCATTCCATTATCATTCAACCGCTGATTTTTTTTATATTGACAGGCTCTGCATTTTAAATCTTAGAAATCTAGTGTAAAAAAAAATTAAGTGAAAAGCTAAGATAAATGTTTATACATGAGAATTTTACAGCAGAACAATTATTTCCACATAGTTATAACAGGATTTATAACTTATAATTTTAGGAAGTACCAAAGTTAAACTAAAACAAACTTACCAAGTACAAGAAATATCCACCAAAGCCAATACTGTCCATTGAAATATCCAGTAAAATAATCAGAAAACTATGGAGTAAACATAAATATATTAACCATATTTACATACCTAAATTTGAAAATTTTAGTATATGTGCTGCCGAAGCGAGCACTAAATTTGAAAACTGTCGATTACCCTCAGCTTCAGAATAATTAATTTCAAAATCTTTTAACACTTAAAAACAGTACAAAGATGAAAGAAAATATATTTAATGATTTACATTAACAATACACATATATATCTGAGAAAAATCTTATGTAATAGCAAACAAACATATAAAATAGTTTATAAATAAAAAAAACAGGTCAAACCGCTTGCAAGAAAGAAAAGTAAATGCCACATATTGGAATCAAACATTTTCTCATTAAAGAGTTCACATGTCAGTCCTTTTCTCATAATCCCTCAAAGCCACAATGCTCATCCCAAACATACTACAGCAACCTGCTGCTTTAGATATTAACACCAAAAGCCACATTAGTTTAATCTTATCAGATGAGGATGTTCTGGTGACCCCTATATAGAAGAGCTTTTGACCTTCTGTACACCCCCTACTGCTAATCACTGCCAAAAATACTAGGCACATAAAGACCCCCAAGTCATTGGAGTCCTTTTTATTTTCCAACTAGATGCACTCTGATTCAGTCCCCAACAGTGACAGCTAAATGAACCCTGAAGTGGCATTTCAACAGTTCCTATTAGTGGCTGTGGTAGACAGTTTTATATTCTCTGTGATGTAGGAATATGAATGAGCAGATGGAAAGCAGGGTTTGATGGTATAGGACACAGGTATCTTTTCCTTGATTAGACTGTAGACGTCACACCTCATGAAGTTTACGAAGTTTTTAAAAAAAATCAACCTAGTTTTCTTCAGTTGTTCACATAATTCTTTACTATTCCTTCCCTATCTACTTAGCACCTAAATAATGTCCCCCCAAAATTATTTTTTAAAATGTTTCATATAGGTTACTTAAAACCTACTGAAAAGTAATTAATTTACCTCTTTTAACTGTTCTTCAAACTAAATCTTAACTAAAGATAATTTTGTTGAATGAGGATTTGTGCTTCATCTGAAATTAAAAGTGTTTCCAACTTTATGTAAGCATTTCCAATTACATGTTAGTAACATCCATAAAAGCTTTAAAAGACTACAGTTTTGGGAATAACAAAAATACAAATTACAAATGAGAGCATATCAACTAAAGATTGTATAAATCTATTTCTTAAAGTTTTAAAGTATTTTCTCTGGATTTAAATAAACCATAATCTACTCTTAAGAGTTTTAGAAAATCCAAAGATTTAAAACTTCAAAGGACTATTAACGATGTAAATCTTTTACCTTTTAAAAATCTACAATGAAAGAGAACTTGAAAATTGGAAAATCACAGCTTATAAAATAGGACTGTACTATGCTACTTTTTAATAAAATGATGAATAATTAAAAATACAAAATTTTCATACAGGTCTTAGAGGCTATAAGAACAAAGAATAAAAAACCAAAACAATATGTTTTTAACTTTCTGTGTATGGTACCTAATAAGAGTCACCCAGAAAATCAGGAAGTATCATTCTTCCCCAAAAATATTTACCTTAAAGCTATTTTTTAGTCTCAAATGAAGAATATATAATTATCTTCACCCTGAAGTCAAAGAGACTCATTATTTAAAAAGGACTGATAAGCTTTGGGCTCATTACTTGAGTTATCAAAAATGTTTTAAAATACTAAAATCACAGGGCTGAGCCAAGTTGTTGTCTTGTTTAGAAGAAGACAGGTTGATTGGCCAATCACTGGCTCTAGAAATAAAGTTTTGGAAAATAAATTAACCAACATTAAGAATTTATCTGCTTTTATTTTATGAATAACATACTAGTATTTTATTGTTTCTACCCTGTCTTTCAAAAAAACTTGTTAATTTTTAATAAAACAAATGCAAAATATAGTAAAGGACATATTAGAATAAAGCACTACCTAAGAAAAACATGGTATTCTTTTTTTATTACTACAGTGAAATTGGTGAAGAATCAGAAACACACAAGTATTACCAGCAAAGTTCTAAACCATTCTAAGTCTTTAATTATTTTTGTCTCAAAGGAAAATTTAATATTACAATGGGAGTTCAAGTGAGATACACAGATGCATTTTTACACAAACAGTAACAACAGCAAAAGCCTTAGGCAGAAGTTATACCAGAATTCCAGGCTAAAGATATTTAAACAAAATCTGAGATTCATGGCAGCTCAGAAATGAAAAAAAAAAAGCAGTAGTACGATTAATAATACTTACCAGTTAATAAATGAAACAACGGACTTTTAGGAGGAAACATTTCTCTTAGCACTAAACTCCAAGGGGAATTTATGGAATAGAGCATTACAGAAAAGGTTAAGGTACAGTGTAACAGAGGTAGTACAGTTAGGACAGGTATTGAATTGAAACCAAGGTAAATTCTAATCCATGTGCAAATTGTGGGACTTTAGGCAAGTTATTTTCTTTTTATTCTTAATTCCAGCATCAATAAATGGTGGAATCATTACCAGCATCAAAGATACAGATTGGTTTAAAGAATTTGATATTTGTAATAAATTAAGCCTGAACAGTCAATGAATGACAGACCGCTATTATTCTATACAAGAGATTTTAAAAAATCCTTTTCACATCAATTCTCAGTACATATTAACTGGTATTAATGGTAGCCTTAACTCAGCAAATACATTTAAAGGGAAATTAAATAGTCCTCATAATCAAACCATGTTAATACATACCTTAGGAATCTTATTACATTAATCAGATTTGATTACTAGATCATCTGACCCCTTTTCAACCTGGCATTCTAGGAGAGAATCAGGCTCTAAGGCCCTGAAGGTGTAGGTTATATACAACAGCTTAACTTCCTTTTTTGAATCTAGAATGACTGCAGCAATTTGCCAACTTTAGGATGACTGAGAAAGTAGTTCGCAAATCACTTTCTTTGTTCTGTGCTTTAGATGAGCAATGCCATTTTATAACAGGAATTGATTCTATTAACAGTGTAACCAAGGTTGGACATACCTAGCTCCAATTCTTGAGATGTTTTGCAAAGTAATAACTTCTACAAGGGCAGGGATTCTGCATCTTCATCTTTGTATATTCTGTAACACCCTAACAGACTTCTACTTATGGTAGAAATTCACTATTATCCATCTTTTGAAATAAAATTCAAAAAAGAAACTGCTAGGAGACAGTTCTTATAATGACTCAGATTTTAATCATGTTAGAAGAAACAAGTCCACAGGTCCCACCAATAAACAACAGATGAGTAACCAAAACCTGTCAACTGGTCTAAACTAATGCAGGGCCTGATAAGATTACTGAAACGTTGAGAAGCTATAAAAGAAATTTTACAATAATGAACAAATGCATTATATCCACAGTATTAATATTTATGTAATGGGTACTTTTTAATTAATAATATAGATCCATTATCAAAGTGTCTGAAGAATTTAAGAGATACCAATATATTAGTTAGACCTGTGATTGTATTGAAAACTTCAGAAGAATTGAGCTCACTCAAGTAAAAGTCAATGTTTAAGTAAATATGCCTTGTAGAATTTATATATTTTAATTTATTAATCATATAATAGCACTGAAAATCTGTGGGTAACTTTTCAAAAGACAGTAAAACAATGAACAAAGAAAGCCACTCTTAATCATTCCCTTTGCCGAGGCATTATTCTAAAGAGCTAGAACAAGTATTTGTGAAAAGAAGGCCAAAAGGGGTCTTCATGAGCCAAGGTAAAGTACAGGTTAGGGAATAGTTATGGTAATGGCACTAAGGCAGAAGTAATTTTTACAGAAAACTGTTCGAGGCTAGGAAAGGTGTTGAGATGGAAAAAGAAAAGGATGTTTCATTGTTCACCTAAACACTATCTTATAAGTGGTAAGAAAAAGACAGATGGCAATTTAAGGGAACAACGAAAAAAATGAGAAAGCTTAGAAATAATACAACGGAAAAAAGATGAGTTCTGATAGCCACTTCATAGGCTTTCACTTTTACTTCTGAGCCCTGAGTGTTACCAAAAAAAGAGAGAACATATTTAAGTTCACAATTTACAAAACAATAGAAATTTCAGTTTTTATCTGCTTTTAGTCATACCTGCACTGTATCACAATAGTAGTAGCCATGATTTTCCAAGCACATATATTTGTGCAGTAACTGGGCAAGGCTCTTTACCTTGCATACCTCATTAAACCCTGTGAGGCAGCCCACTGGGAGAAACCAGTGCTCAGAGCAACTAAATAAAGTGAGAACACAGATATAAGACAAGATGAAGTTCAAATTAACTTTTTCTGCTTTCAAAGTTTCCAGTATACTAACAACCTCTCATATACAGTTATAAAATGTTCATACCATGGAGATCATTATAATAAAGTATATAATTATAAGCTTTAAATTGAACTCATGTACGTAAAGTGAACATTTATGAATCACACAGCAAATTCTGTACCTTCGCATTCTAGAGATAACAGAGATATAAGCTGTTATGACACTCACCCTCACAATAAGGATCCATTTGATCAATGAAAGGCCAAATCCACAGATAGCACCATACCTTCCGGCTATAGTATTGGTGATACAGAAGGATAAACAAAATCCAAGCCAGTTGAATATAAATGCCACTAAAAGCAAGAGAAACACTTCTTTTAAAGTCATAATATGGAAAGTTATATAGACATACTATTAACCAGTAATGGCGAGCCCTGTAGAGCCGTCAATAACAGCCAGCTGTGGGGTACGCATGCCACAGGTTCACCACCACTGATATTAACAACGGTTCATTGCTTAAACAGCAGTTTCTTTTCTTTTAACTCTACTAAGTAAACCTTATTTATAGACAGATGGGTAAGCTGGGTTTCTTGTCAGTTTGGTCAGCAAGAATTGATTTCTTAAAGCTTATCACCAATAAGTTAAAGAACAGTTTTAAGCCAACTAAAAACCAGATCACACTGTGTCATCCATGTGAGAGTTCATTCAACCTAAGTAACTAGCCAACAAAGTTGGCTTTTTTAAAAAAAGGTAAAACAAAACAATAAAACATAATAGTTCACAACAAATATTTTATGGGCATCTTAAAGTGTAGTCATAATTCTTAGATGTTACTTTTTTGTATTCACTTACAATCTGTAGCTCCACCTAAGAGCCATATTAAGATACAGCTTTATATGGACAGAACAAGTCACCAAAGTATTGTTTTTTCATTATGTGTGGTTTATGACCTTTCAGGAACTATAACTTTTGACTTGTAAATGCCAGGTTCTCAAAACAGTTTATGGAATAAAGATGCTCAACATTATAATCGTCAGAGAAATGCATCATTAGATATCACTACATATCTATTAGTCTAAAATTTAAAAATCTGTCACTACCAATTGTTAATCTCATTTACTGCTGGTGAGAACACAAAATGGTACAGCCACTGTGCAGACAGTTTGGCAATTTCTTTGAAGTCAGATTTACATTTCAAAACACTTCCAGTTTTTTAAAGTTACAAAGAATTTAATTTCTCTTTGTAATTCCCTGTAGTCTAAAATAGGAATGATACAAATGACTATAACAATAACATGCTGGCATGAAGATTCTCATGCTCATGCTAGAAACGGCTGAACTTTGGAAAAAAAGTTTTCTAAACAGATCCAAACACAGTGCATTATATTTTAAAGCACTTGAACTCAAAGTTGTTTCCATAGACTGTCAATTATCCTTTGAATTAAATCTTAATTTAGAGTTCAATTAACTGATGAACAACCAGATTCTACTTCATTATTTTAAATATTTTCTTAAAATTAAGGCCAGAGATATTCAAGTTAGGCATGTGCATAATACTTTAAAGTATACTTTAAATACTTTAAAAGTTTTATGAAAAGCAAAAATATTATTAAAGGATACATAATTTCTTCCTTTACAATTTCTGAACAATAACAGGTACTTGCATTATCAACTTTAAGTGTAAACTCTTTTAGATTACATGACGTAAGCGAATGAAACAGACACTGAAAATAGTGGCAAAAATAAACCTTACGAGTTTTAATTAAAATATTGTAAAATTCACTGTGATTTTATTTGTGCAAATGCAACCTCAAATGCTTAAGGAAACCATTTCCAGATTTAGTACAACAGTATTTACTGAAGCACTGAAAAGATACTTCTTCAGAGGGGGGAATATTGCAGATAGGTAAGTTAATTAGATGTCTTGTAGGCAGTTAGACAGGGCCAGGCCGCAAGGACCCAACATGGAGGAGAGTGAAGGCACATTCACTGAAGGCCAAAATTGTAAAAGAAGAGAAATTACCACACCATGTAGGATGAATAGCAGTGAGTGATACTCTAAACAGGTATCAATCACCTGGGTGGGGGATCAAGGTCTTAACCCAGCCTCTCCAGGAAATATCCCTGACCCCCACCCTTACTGAAAATCCTTATATGACTGCTACATGACTTGCTCCTCCATTTGACCCTCATTTAATCAATATTACCTGGGTGACTGTACTTGTCATCTTATTGGTTGGACATGGTTTTGTCCCACCTCATCCCCACCTTGTAAATTTCCACTGGGTCTTATAGTTTTGTCCCACTTTGTACCTGCCTCATCACGTGGCTTTGCTGTATAAAACATCTCTGAAAAGTGGGGTAGGTGGGCAACCCACTTTCCGGTCCCCCTTCTGACTCTCTTAGGCAGAAGCTTTCTTTCTCCCAATAAATTTTTCCTACTCTTAAAAAAAAAAAAAAAAAGCAAGCTGCAATTTGAAGAATAGTCACTAGATGGCAGTAACTACAAATAAATCTACACATCAAAACAAGTTCAACCCTCCTAAAAGCAGAAAACGAAGGAAAAAATACAATTTCACTCATAATATTTTGCAATATTTGTAGACTAGGAAGCATAAAAATAAGTTGTAGAAATATAATTTAGTAAAAATTAAGTAAAACATTTTATATTAATCTTTAAATATATGTATACTTGTGTTTATATTAACAAACTGCCACTGATCAAAAATGAAGTCTGATGTGTCTAATTTATCAAGCATTTGCAACATTTACATCAATGACATGTTTTCAACTCTAGAAAATAAGGATTAAAAAGACTGGAGTTACTCGATCCCCGGTACCAAAAAAAAAAAAAAAGACTGGAATTAAATGAAATAGAGAAATAATAAGAACTAAGCTGAAGACTAACAATTAGATTGTATCAAATAACATGCTTTTATTCTCAAGAAACAGTTTATGGATACTACAAAAAGTACAATGAATTTAATTATTTTATAATTAGGATTCCTTAAAAGACACAACCATGAAAGGAATTAATGTTTAAATTACTCTTTTTGTAAGCAAAAAATGTGGGGAGTTTGCTATTAATATAAAGCATTACCAATGGAACTAAAAGTAAGATAAAAAATAAGGTTTACCAGCCTAATAGTACAAAATGGTAATCATTTATAAAGCTCATTTCCTTCTTTTTCATTAAAACTTGCAACTAAAACCAAATTAAGATTTAAACACTATGTACATACATTATTTGATTGGTAACTTGAATATAATTTAATAAACTTAAGACAGCTGCTTGCCCACTCCCTTCCCCTGTTCTTCAGCAGATTAAATAAAGAAGCGAAGCAAGACAGCATTTCAAAATGGAAAAGGTTAAATGAATTCAAAAATAACTCTACTAATAAAGTATGATTCTCTATTTTTAAAGATAGTTTAAGTGGCACACGTCTATAATCCCAGCACTTGGGAGGCTGAGGCAGGAAGATTGCCACAAGTTTCGGGCCAGCCTAGGCTACACAGTGAGTTCTAGGCCAACCTGGAATATAAAGCAAGATCCTGTCTCAAAAAAAGAAAAGGGAATTTTGCAAGATGTTAAAAAGAGTATACTTAGGGCTTCTGACCTTCTAACTATGCACCATTCCTAGTGACACTGTTGTGGCAGCCCAGAATATCCCCTTTTCTTCTGGCTTAAGGGCACTCAAATGGAAGGAAGCCTTCTGCCACAAAAGCAGAATGTAGTTTCATTCTATGTATTCCTACAGCACGGAATGGACATCAATATTGCAGCATTTCTCTTACAAAATATTTATATACCTTTTAGTTGTCCATATCTAGCACAATGGCTACAACACATAATTATCCGATGTGTTAAATAAACACTAGGATCTGTATTCATTAGTTCACCGTCCTGAACAATTAACATTTTAAATAAAGTCACATGCTAATAATGTTTTATTTACAATGTTGTTTTTGGCTTTTGTATTTTTTATTTCCTTATTTTAGCCTAACAGTAGACACGTGCAGTACATAATGTTTACACTCCTTGTGTGGAGTTGGTGCGCACATAGAACACGTCTTAATTCAACCCTTCATCCCCGCTCGCTCCCCACCTCCTCCCCCACCTCTTGAGCCCCTCCTTCTGGTGGGCATATTGGCAGTGCACATTTACACACCTTGTGAGGGGTTGGTGCACGCACAGAACTCACCCCAATTCCTTTTGTCATCCCTTCTCACTTCCCTCCCACTCCCACCACTCTTGATCTCCTTTGAGAACAATTTGTCTCCCTACTTCCTATCACTTTTTATTTTTCTCTTTATTATTATTCTGGATTTCTCATGTAAGAGAAACCATGTGACATTTAAGCTGTGTGTCTAATTTATTTCATTTTATGATCTCTGGGTGCGTCATTTTCCCACAAATGACTCAAGTTTATCCTCCTTCATATGATGTTACTTTAAATACACAACAGTGTGGAAAGATGACTTACTAAAAAATGCCAGCATGAAAATCCCGTCGTTGCCCACTCTAAGCTGGTCTGCGTCACTGAAGTCATCCCTTGGCGGACACTCCTCCTCCTGATTCTGTAAAATATAACAGCGGGAGAGCTCGCTAACCTAATTGTGTTACCTTAAATGTAACAGTAAGAACTTCAATAAAATACAATGTTCTCAACTTGTACAGACAAAGTTAAATAAGTACAATGTCTGGCACTGAGTAAGTATTAAAAAAACAGCAAGTTACTATTTTTCCATGGGCACCCCTGAAAAATGTAACTTTAAAGGTAAAACACACAAAAAAAGGAAATTGAACAACATCAAACTTACAAAGTATCAAGAAGATAAACGTTAACACTAGAGTCAAATAGAAAAACAAATAATCAGTAGTGAGGTATAAATTTGTACCTTTGTGTTCGGCAATTTGAAAAGAAATATTTATCAAAACTAAAAATGTATATACCCAGTGATCCAGTAGTTCCAATTCTTGAAATATACTGTACATATATCCACATTACTGCTTATAAGAAATAATGTATTAAAGAGAATTCATTACAGCAATTCTTAATAAAAGCAAATGATTAGACAATCTAAGTATCATCAATAGTAGACTGTGTTAGATAATTCATGGGTTTCATGCTTCTGCATGTCTTTCAGGCTGCCTTTTTCTGAATGTTTATATAGTAGAGACCTTTGGAAAAGACTGTTTCCCTTCGGGACAAAAATGTGGACATTCTTACTGACCATTAAAAAAAGATTTGGATTCTTCACAGTACTAGGAAAAATACTTCTAAAATTCATATGGAAGCACAAAACAATCCTCAACAAAAAACAACATTGCTGGAAACATCACAAAACCTGATTTCAAAATATACTATAGAGCTAGGCGTGGTGGCGGATGCCTCTGATCCTAGCACTTGAGAGGGTGAGGCAGGAGTATTGTCATGAGTTCAAGGCCAGCCTAAACTACATAAGACCCTGTCTCAAAAAA